GGGGAGAACACAGACATAACAGGCTGGGGAAAACATGGAATAAAACACGAAAGGGGACAAGGGCTCATGAATACATAGAGGGGCACACAGGGGGTGAGAGTCACAAAGGGAAAGCACACAGGGAACCACATAACAGGGCAACTCAGGAAACAGAACCTAAACAGGGAACTGAATACAAAAATACAAGAGAACTAAGAATACTGGGCCAACACGGCCCAGGACCATGACATCACCCCCCCCTTAAGGGCTGGCTCCAGACAGCCCAAACACAGGAAAACAAAAAACCAAAACCAAACAGAAAACGACCCAGGGCGGGCGGCGGGGGCCCAGGACGGAGGGCACGGAACAGAAAACAAAGGAGCACAGCAAACACCGGAGCCCAAGAAAAACAACCCAAAACACAGTGCAGTTCAGGGGGCCGACCATGCGGACGGGAACGGTGGAGACGTGGAAACAGTTCAGGGGGCCGGCCGCGCGGAAGGCAGCGGCGGCGGCGAAGGAGACGACGGAGCAGTTCAGGAGGCCGGCCGCGCGGAAGGCAGCGGCGGCGGCGAAGGAGACGACGGAGCAGTTCAGGAGGCCGGCCGCGCGGAAGGCAGCGGCGGCGGCGAAGGAGACGGAGCCGTTCAGGGGCCGGCTGCATGGAATGCAGCGGCGGCTCTCCAGTGTTAGGCATGCTGGCCATGGCCTGGTGGGCGCAGGACCAGACGAGGCAGGACCAGACGAGGCAGGACCAGACGAGGCAGGACCAGACGAGGCAGGACCAGGCGTAGCAGAAGCACAGGCTGGCCCAGGCGTAGCAGAAGCACAGGCTGGCCCAGGCGTAGCAGAAGCACAGGCGGATGCAGCCGGACCAGGCGACGACGAGGCGGTCGCAGGTGGCGGCTGGACAGGCTCCTCGGGCCCTCCAGCTGATGCGGCGTGAGGCTGAACGGGCCCCTCGGACCCTCCAGCGGAGACAGGAGGCTGAACGGGCCCCTCGGACCCTCCAGCGGAGACAGGAGGCTGAACGGGCCCCTCGGACCCTCCAGCTGAGACAGGAGGCTGAACGGGCCCCTCGGACCCTCCAGCTGACGAGGCGTGAGGCTGGACGGGCCCCTCGGACCCTCCAGCGGAGACAGGTGGCTGAACGGACGCTAACTGTAGCTGCACAGGGCACGCAGTCTGCTTAGGATGCAACGGCTGGGGCTGTGCAGGGCAAACAGTCTGTCCAAAGTTTGTCAGCACCACGCAGTCCTCAGCTGGCGGAGAAAGCTCACAAAGGCTTCCAGCTGAGGTTGGCAGTGTCTGAGCGGGTTGCTGTGCTATGAACTGAGCTGGTGACAGAGGTAATGACAGAGCTAATAATGACTGAGCCGTTAACTGAACAGGCAATGGAGTAAGACACTGAGGTGGTAACAGAGCAGATGACTGAGTGGGTAATGGAGCCGTTAACTGTGCTAAAGACTGAACTGGTGACAAAACAGGAAACTGTGCTAATAACTGAGCCACTGACTGAGTTATGGACAGCAATGCCAGTTGTAGTGGGAGTTGCGCTTGTGGTAGATTAGGTGTCTGGCTCTGGGCTGCTCTCCTCCGGGGAACAGGAATGGGTGCTGGGCCTGGCCGAACACCAGCCATCCCCACCCGAGGAACAGATATGGGTGCAGGGACGAGCTGGGCTCTGGCTGCCTTTACCCTGGGGGCTGGTGTAGGTGCAGGAGCTAGTTGGACCTCTGTCGCTCCCACCCGAGGAACTGAGACGGGTGCAGGAGTCGGCAGGGTCACGGCTGACCTCACCCGGGGAACCGGAACAGGAGCAGGCAAAGTCTGGGTGTCCATCAACCCCACCCGAGGAGCAGGTACGGGTGCCGGGATGATAGGAGCCTCTGCCAGTCTGGGAACAGAAGCAGGGACCAGCTGGACCTCAGCTACCCTCTCCCGAAGAACTGATACGGGAGCTAGGGAAGGCTGGGCCCACGCTGCCTTGGTTACAGAAACTGAAGCGGGAGAGCTGAGCTCAGGAGCAGAAACAGACACAGGGAAAACAGAGTTAGTGGAGCTAGAAACAGTGTTAGCGAACAGAGATTCATGGCGGACCACCCCTAGTAACTCTGTAGGCCCTAAGGTGTCCATGTTAGGTGTAGCAGTCTCTAAAACAGTCATTGCACAGGAAGGTCCGGGTCTAGCAGAGTCAGAGTCTGTAATACCGGGCACAAAGGGATCCGTTATGGACACAGGAGCATTCACACAGACCGTTTCTAAATATACAGGTTGGGGAGCAGCATAGTCCAGGAGTGGAGACACACCACACAGTCTCACACTCAGCAGGTACAGAGACCGCAGAACTGTTAACTTCACAGTGCTGTTCACAAGTATGCGGCTCAAAAACGGTCTTTTGCTTCTCTACGGTGAAATAATCTGTCTGTGAGTTAATTGCTGCTGACCTGGGAGGAGCACAGGAAACATAGTCGCTCTCAAACACGGGCGTGAGGGTAGGCACTGCAGGACCAGAATTAACAGACCCAGAGTTAATGGCCTCAGGGATGACGCGCACGGGGCTTATAGTGCCAGGATTCTTTAATTTAGCATGAACAGCAGTCTCTAGAGTGGTGATGAAGTCCGTCTCGTGCGTAATAGAAGCGGAGGCGAACGTAGAAACAGTATGAGGCCTAGAAACACAGTCATATTCAACCTTTTTGTTCTTCTCTGGTGAGTTACGGACGTGAAAAACAGCGGACTCAGAAAACGAATACTGTCCGAGACGGTCGGGCTTGGAACTCGCATGGAAAAAGCAGTCAGATTCACTCACCACCGGAGCTTGCTCAGTAGCTTTAGCGTGGCGACGGCGTGAGCGTCGTGTTTTCCCGGGAACTGTGCCGTGAGTTCCCGAGGCAGTGGGCGCAGGCACTTCGGTGATGTCGGCTGGCTGAGCCGATGACGAACCAGGCTGCGCCGGAGAGACAGGGAGCTTGTGCAGCTCTGAGCGCGGAAGTCCCAGGTAGAGCGCAAAAGCCTGCAGCGGGGTAAGGCCGTTTGTCGTCGGCTCGAAATCACTCCCCGACCGCCGAGTAACCCTCTTCTTTGCGCGGAACGTGGGCGGCGACCGGAGAGGCGAACCAGAAGTCGAAAATGCCGGAGGAGTTGTGGCAGGCGATAGGCTGACTCCTCCAACTCTTCTTACCGTGGGGCGGTGTGGGGAAAAAGCAGCAGCCTTTGCCATTTGGACGCTGCGCGGCCCACCTAGCGCCCATAGAGTCCCATGAAAGGCAGACTCGTGCTCCCGGGCGTGCCGAGCCTCCTGCCTTCTCCTCTCGTTAGGGAAGGCGGAGTTTGCACGCTGCCGGTTCCGAACGGAGTTTGCTGGGTCCATTACTGGTCGTAGTCTTCTGTCATGGTCGGCTGTGTGGCAGGCAGGATGAGGACCCAATCGCAAAACTCACGGACTCAAGGGATGAACTCAAAAGGCAGCTTTATTGCTGACAAGATGACAGGAAAATACAAAACTTAAACTGGGCACAATAAACTAATACTTGGAGAGAGACACAGGGAAATCCACGCAGCATGAGGGAGACTACGACACAGAACTGAGGGAGACGCAGACATAAATACACAGAGGGTTAACGAGGGAAGTGGGAGCACACGGGGAACACAGCTGACACAGATAATCATAACGAGACAGGGCAGGAGTGAACACAACATGACGCATACTGACGAGAGACTGTCAAAGTAAAACAGGAAGTACAGAGGTTCAGACAGGAGGAGAGAGCACGGGGAGAACACAGACATAACAGGCTGGGGAAAACATGGAATAAAACACGAAAGGGGACAAGGGCTCATGAATACATAGAGGGGCACACAGGGGGTGAGAGTCACAAAGGGAAAGCACACAGGGAACCACATAACAGGGCAACTCAGGAAACAGAACCTAAACAGGGAACTGAATACAAAAATACAAGAGAACTAAGAATACTGGGCCAACACGGCCCAGGACCATGACAACTACTACATAAATACCTAACTGTAGTACAGTAGCTAATGGGGGTTATAACTCTGATACAAACAGAGGTTTAATTAATAGATGTTAATAATAATGATTTATTTTTACATAAAATTAAAAGTAGAGAAATTATAGAAGCATTCTTGCATTTAATCTAAATCTGTCAGATCGTGCAGACCAGAGGAGAGGACCCAAATGCAGTTGCATGGACACAGGAGCTAAGTGAAGGCAAGCCGTTTATTTAGGCTGATAGACAAAAACTAATACAAACGTGAGAAAACCAAACAAATTACTAAACTAGAAAGCTAAACTGGGAAATTAAACACTAGAAACCTGGAAGCCTTGGAACATAGAAACACATGAGAGGTAAACAGATGCTCTCACAAAGGACCAAGGAAAACAGAGTACACAATATACACAATGTGGGATGATCAGAGAAGTGGAAATACATGGGAACACAGCAGGAAGAAATTTGCACATAACGAGACAATGGAAGCAAAACTAAAAACCATGCACATCAGATGAGGGACTGACAAAATAAAACAGGAAGTAGCATGCACAGCAAGACTCAGACAAGGACACACATGCTTGACACTAGGACAGGGATAAACAAACACGAGAGAACACAACAGGCAGGAAGACAAGGACGAAACACAAGAAGAACATGGGAACAGGTAAGGGAGACAAAACCCCAAGACATAACTGGGATAAGATAGAGAGAGAGAGCAGGAGACACAGAGCATGAAAACAAACAGACATGGAACCATGGCAGATCTAACATGGAAGATCCTAAGGGCAGAACATAAAGGTGAGTGTAAGAAGACAGGAGGAGAACACTAAAGAAACACTAAGACAAGACTGAGGGATTACAAAGTTATTGCAATACTGCCCAGTAAGATACAAATAAATGAACTGACATAAAATCAATGCAACAGCAACACGAAAACCAATACATAAAACTGAAATATACCATATTATCCTGAAACCAACATAGGTTACCACAGACCTGTCTGGACTGTACCTCAGTTTTTGAGAGGAAGGTACAAGAGAATTTCGGCAGGCCGCCAGGCTCAACAGGTTTCTCAAACTGACTTCTGATGTGATACTGGCCTGGACCAGGAACTCCCTGTTGGGAAACAGAAAGTGAAATTTACAGTACATCAAAGGTGAAATTTATCGGGATGCATTTAAATGATTTGCTAATATCACCTTTCGTGTAGCTGTGTCAATAAGAAAAACAGGAGAAAAGCTGAGGAAGTGAAAGAAACAGAGGATAGGATGCAAGGACAGAGTTTCTGAGATTGCGCTTTCCTGTATCTCTTATGAATGATGAGCACTCACTGGCAAGGAGATGAGGCTGAAATATTAAGAAGATCGAACGGAAAAAGAGCAGAGAAAAAAAATGCAGCTAATGATGAGTAACTTGTGAATACATACAGGAAAAAGCCCTTTTCTTTCTCTGCTCTCCAATTAAGTCATTTATGTAAAGAAACAGAGCAGAAAAAACAATCAGCATTAAGTGTGCACAGTGTTTGTGCTTTTGTGAGACCGAGCTGTAATAGTCATGTCATACGCCAACTTAAGAAGACTACGTAATTTTGAGGCAGCAATCATTGCATCTGGCAAAGCAGCAAACAGCACTCACAGAGAGGCTGACAGTGAGAGGCTAAGAAAACCTGGACACTTTCTTACAATCACACCTACGCACATTTCGACGCTGCCTGATACAGAGCTGGGCATTTTTCTGTCGGTTGGAAAACAACAAGGTTTCTCTGCTGCAGGTGGTTTAACTAGTTCTGCAGTAAAACATCACAGAATTCTTTGGCCATTGTTAGCACTGTGAGGGGGAAGCTCAGTGAACCTCTGGACCTTCCCCATGCCATAGGACAGCTCAGAGTCTATTAATGAACAATGACTATATTGCCCTCTTATTTCCTTTCCTCTTAATCAAATTTGCCACGGTGTGCTTCACGTACAGTAAGACTGCCACCATTTTCTTAGGAAACCTGTTTTACTGATTTGCAGCACATACCTATAACATTTTTTCCACATTTAATAATGATAAGAAGATATGTGCCTGTTTTGTCATTCATAAGAATTTGGTTTGCAAAGATTTTCTGAAGAGATTTACAATGCTTTTATTTCATCATTGCATATGCAAATACATTTGCATATGTGCTCAAAAAGAGTCTTCAAAGCTGGCTGGTTAAAATCAAATCCAGTAAAATACATGTGTAACTTGAGAGAAAGGAACTCTGTGTAAAGGTTTCTGCATGCAAGTTATTGCCAAGTGTTCAAGAAAAACTGTATTCTACCTGAGCACTCAAAGCACTTTATATAACAGACCTCATTCTCCCATTCATACAAGCACTTTCCCCCCCCCCTAAGCTTAAATGCTTTCTGTCTAACTTTCACACTCCGATGGATGCATCAGAGAGCAGCTCAAGGGTTGCCCAAAGATATCTGCCATGCTGTCTGGAGTAGCCAGGGATAAAACCATCAACCTTCCGATTAGTAGATGACCTGCTCTACAGCCACGCCAACTTTATACAACTTCTCTATTATTTTAGGGTCTTTGCCTTACAGTATAAAGTACTTTGAGGAGACCGTGGTTGTGATTTGGCTGTATTTACATAAAATTGAATTAAACAGAACTTTAAGCTTTTGTATAATGTCTTTGTTGATACAGTTTTAAATCAAACCATACAGTATATAGACATTCTTAATTTTTTTTACAAAGATAACAATGCCTTTCTGTCCCAACACACATATTATAATTAAAACGCATTTAAATGAATATATTGCATGCCCAATAGGCTCAATTTACAGTTTTAGAGGTAGGTAATCCTGTAAGTTAAACTTCCTGCCAAGAATTCTTCCTTCTTCCCCCCTGGGAGCTGTGCTGCTTCCCTGTTTCTAAATATATCACATGCTGCAAACATAATATCACCACCCGTGATAACATTAACATGATATTCACAGCATTTTAAAGGTGAACTGACAGTGTAATTTGTATATCCAGGGTTATATCAGACACTGCACGGGTACAACTTTATCTGTTTTTCTTGTGTTTGCAGGGATGCACACTGTAATGGTATCTTAAAGTGGTTTGCTCAGATATTGCCCTAGCTATGTCAGAATGTCTATTTAATGGGTAAATCCTGCACACAGACTCTTAAAGTCTATAGGACACCAGCAGCCCCGAGCCATTAGAGGCAGACTGTCTGCTGATCTCCAGGAAGTAAAGGTGTTTGTCCTGAGTGTCCCCACTGTGGGAAATGACCCATCTGGTCAGTGTATGTATGTGTGGGAGTACATATGGGTTGACATGTGAGATACTAATGATGATGGATGGAGGTGCAACCAACATGGTTGGGGGTCCAAATACAACATATAGAACACACAAAAAATACACAGACAGTAAAGTCAGTGAGAAATTTCAGGTAAATTGAAGGTACGTGTTTAAACAAACTGTTTAACGGTTAAATATAGATAAAGAAAAGTGAAGAGAAGTAAAACAGCAATAAGAGGCTGTGAGAGACAAAAGGAAAACAAGTAATGGGAAAAGCATAAATGACAACAAAAAAAACCTAAACGGTGCATTTACCTTTTTTCATGAACTCCAGCCTTCACCTCGCCCTCTCTAACCCACCGATCGGTAAAATAAGGCATCACAGAGCATTACTCTGCCAGCACAGTCAAGTTCATATGCAGGTGAATAACTACCCTCTACTCATCCACTTCCAATATATTAGTCTGTAGTAAAAGCTTATGTTTTACTGCCCCCTTTGAGATGAACTAGTGAACTGTCTTTCAGCTTAGAAAAATCCATTAGGAATCCAACATATTTACCCGGTTCTCCATGTAAAAATCACACGTTAGTTACCTGTTAATCAAAGGCCTGTTGTTGAAAGGTACTACCATATACATTGTATTTTAGTGTAATTAAACATAACATGACATGCTCAAACAGAAGGTTAGAGGACTCATTAGGCGGGGTCAGAGGCAGTGCTCATTTTTCAATCATAATGTGATTATGATGGCTTTACATTAAATGGTACTTACAAAAGGACCATAACACAGAGATCATTTTTATAATTAAGTGTGATTAGATTTATTTGTGGTCAGCATGCAGCATTCTCAGGGAGAAAAAAAAAACACAGTGTGACAGTGCTGTTAGTAAGTTTCCTGCCTCAGCTTGTAGCACAGCTCACTTTGTGTGCTCAAGCTTGTTTTTCCTCAGTCTTTTTAGTTCCAAGGTTGGTTAGTGCCTTAAAAATAGCAGGTTCTGCTGTCTTGTTATTTTTTCTGATTTTAGAGTAAGACTACTGAAACAAATATGAGAAAATATCATAAAATATATAAGTAACACAAATAAAATTAAGCCAGTGACTTCAATGTCTATTATTGAGCATAACTGAGCAAGATTATTTAATAATTGAATGGACACATTCAAGTCTTTGTTTTACAAAAGCATAATTCAACATTATTCTTGTGCTGTATTGTACTATGTTGGCTAATAATTCATACAGCAATAGCTCAAATAACTACAGTGCTGTGAAAAACCTACCTCGCCCCATGTGAAAAACTAACTACAAATGGAGAAAACTTTAAACCAAGGAGAACACCACTGCTGACCAAAAACAACACAAAGCTTCGTCTCACATTTGCCAAAAAACATCCTGATGATTGCAGAGACTATTGGGAAAATATTCTGTGGACTGATGAGACAAAAGCCAAACTCTCTGGAAGGTCTGAGTCCTGTTAAATCTGGTGTAAAACTAATGCAACATTTCACAAAAAGAACATCATACCAACAGACAAACATGATGGTGGTTGCATCATGGTCTAGGACTGCTTTGCTGCTTCAGGACGACTTGCCATAGTTGATGGAGCTGTTCTGCTCTCTACAAGAAAATCCTGAAATCAAATGTCCAGTCATCAGTTTCTACCTTGAAGCTCAAGAGCACTTGAGATAGATAGATGCAACTGGACAATAAACCAAAAAAAAAAAAAAAGTCTGGACTTAAATTCAAATTTGAGATGATTTGGCATGACCTTAAACATGCCCTCCAAAAGTGATGAGAAATAAATCACTGTCAGTTGCTGCAAATGCTTGATTGCAGTTCTTGCTAGCAAAGGTGGCACAACCAGTTATTAGGTTTAGGGGCAATTACTTTTTCACACAGGGCCAGGTAACATGTAAGTGGAACTGGATGTGGAAGGGGAGAAATACTTGTTCATGATACTGCATAAGTTAGTTGCTGTCAGCTCTGTAGAGCATTTGTGTGTTAGTGTTTTGCCCACTGTTTTCACAAGCCACAGCTTTATTTTTCAGCTTTACTTTGATCAGTCATTTTGTGGCAGCAACAAGAAACTTCTCTTAGCCAAAATGACCCTATAAACTAACTGACAGATACATGTCCAAAAACTAAAAGACTGAGGGACCAGTTCGTGAACATAGTGGAGTAGTCATCAGCTAAAGAGTCAGTTTAGCTGATGTCTTTACAAAAAACCTGTAAAGACCAAAAACAAAGATGAAAGGAGAGTGAATATCGCACTGACGTTAACCAAGTAAATAGAGACGTGACTCAGTAAATGTTCTGTGTCTGCTTGATGTCTGCTACTGCGTTCACCACTAGGCTAACAGCGTGATAGCACTGGAAGGTGCTGGATTTTGCTGACATTTTAATTAGCACTTGTGACCAGAATGGCCACTCTTTAGGATAATCATTTGGGTTACTTAGAATGTGAATCTCCTGTCACTTAAAGTTGGCTCCAAAATCAAGTCAATCCCCAGATGCTCAGTTTAAAACTTTACTTGCTTGATGCAAAAAACTGTTTTGGATTCTATGGCTAATTTTTCTCTTTATTCCCACTTTCTTTTTTAATAACAAACAGGTTTAAACTGAACTAAGAAATAAAAGTAATCAAGATCATGTGCATCAGCACTCTATGTGACATATGGGTGCCAACCAGAGGGAGCTGTGTGTTTGCTAGGTGTCACCTCAGCTGATTCCAGTCATTGAACTAGACCTCTTGACTGTGTTGGCAGTGTTTGTGAGCATTTTAATGCATTTATTGGAAAAATTATATGGCTTGTACTTACTGTAGTGATCAATGCCACCTTGGCTGCATCAGCCGTTCCCATACAGATTGTGAGCTCAGAGTTTAACCTTGATTCATGCCCTCTAAAGCTTTTTTTTATCATTGATTTAAACCTTTATATATGGAATCAAAGGGATACAAAGTCATGCCAACCCACCTTCTTTTCTGCCTGCATGGACACAAGTTCATGGTAGCGAGGGATGGCAAGCTCAACTCTACCTCTCTGATCCTTTTGAAGGTTCACATTCTCGTACTGTGTTTCTGGGACTCTACAGGAAAAAGAGGCAATGACAATGTCTTTCAAAATAGAAAACATAGGCAAACAAGTATAATATATACAAAGGGGGAGGTGTTCAAAAGCATACAAAATAGAACAGAAAAAATGAGAATTGGGGAAAAAATATACTGACTGAGTGGCAAAGACAAATGTGGAGTGGAAAAACAAATAGAAAGAGAACAGCAAAGCAAAGAAAGTGGGAAGCAGGGGAGAAGAGTGGAAAGTTATAATCCAGAGTAAAGGAGCTCATAAGGATGAAATGCCTATAATAACTGTAACAGGAGCAAAGACTGAATATACTGTTATTTTTAAACATTTCCAGTAGTCACATGTGTGCCACAGACATGGCTGTGTGGATGTTTTAATGTCTACCTGCACCAGTAAACCACCTTCCTTTTTATTACTTCTGCTGCCAAGGGACAATGATGCTCGAATGGTTTGGGTTCTGTTTGATCAGAAGGTCAGAGTTTCAGCCCCAGCCACCACTAAAATTAACCTGCTGAACCCTTTAGCAAGGCTGCTAACCCTTTCTGATAAAGATGTACCATATCATCGCTGACACCAGCTGTCTAACAACGGTGATGCACAGTCAAAAGAATTACACTGTGCTGCAAAGGAAACGTGACAAATAAGGGCTTCTTCTTTTTCTTCTAAGTCAATTCCTTTATGAATAGCTGAGCTGAGTGTGTGCCCACCCATGTAGAAGTGCTTAGTAAGCGCCATCCTCTGTGGCCATCAATAGAAATGGTATTTGAAAAATGTCAACTGTAATGCTCCAGCTATAGGATCAAAGTAATATTTCACTTTGGAAGAGCAGCCTCTCTATTCAGCGCACATCTTGGTAAGAGTTCAAGAGCAGTGAACATCTGAGATCCCATGCAGGGTAGAGTGTTATCTAACCACCCTCTCAGCTCCTTGCTTCAAGATGTGAATTTGTGAAAATAAATTCCAAATCCATGCACCGGTGGTTAGCCATCAAATCAATTTAAATATCAATATTTCAGAACTGCACATGATGCTACATGGTTGTTTGGCAAGGCTCTCCATAGGTACTGCAAACTTAAGGAGTTCCTACAGAAAACTTACAGAAAACCAGGCATGTGAAGTTACATGCCTGGATTGTTAATTAGCTGTCCATGGGACTGTTTCTAGCAATGATGTGATACTCACAGTTCGGGGTCATATTGTCCTGGAGCTGGTCCCACATCCACCTTCTCCTCAGATCTCCTCCCTGTCATGTTGCCAAAGTGGACCCCTTTATATTTCTGTGTAGAACTCATCTCCTGGAAATGAGAGAAGAGAAGAGAAGAGAAGAGAAGAGAAGAGAAGAGAAGAGAAGAGAAGAGAAGAGAAGAGAAGAGAAGAGAAGAGAAGAGAAGAGAAGAGAAGAGAAGAGAAGAGAAGAGAAGAGAAGAATATTTGTCTTCCAGCCCATATTCTTGAAGACTGAAGGAAATATAATTATGCCAGGTGTAGATCCTCTATATTTTATAGATTGCACTTCCATTTTACAGCTTAAAAATTAAGAAAGACTTCTCTAGTGGGTACTAGTCTGCAGTATTTGAGGTAACATTTGTGAATTTTTCTCAAAAACAGCCTTCCCTTTCCCTCTCTCTCTCCCTGCATTTTTACCTGCATTTACCCAGTCTGAGACTTGCTAATCAATATGCAGAATAAATAACTCAAAGCTGACAAAGCAACCCAATTTTAACTTACAGATGGCAAAAAAAACCAAATAAATTTCAGCAGTGGAAATAGGTTTGCATAAGAGCCACAGAGGGAAGATTACACTTTGAAAACAACAATGGTTGCACAACAACATCTGTATTTGAAACTAGTATGAAAGCAGTCCCCTTCACACCAACACTGACACGATTAACACCTCACACAGCCACTCGATATTGGATTCTTTCTCTGATTGATATGACATTCTGTAAATGAGCTAAAAAAAATAAAACAAAAACCTAAATAAATAAAAATTAATGCAACTAATAGCTAAATTATTGTTGGCACTCTTGTACCAGCAGTGAGTGTCTTCTAACTGAGAATGAGAAGGGAGTAGGGCGGAGGAAAGAATGATGTTATTTGTTTAAATGGTGAAGGTTCATGACCGATATTAAGATATTCAAATGCTTTTTTGTGTCCTATATATGCACACACATGCCAATAAGCCCTGATATTATCCATCCATTCGCTTCCGCTTATCCTTTGCCCTGATATTATATTACATATTAATAAATACATGTATATATATTATTAATCTAACAACTATGCATCTATTTTCCTGTTTAGATTGGTGATAATGTATTGGTTACAGTATCATCAATCTCAAATTCAAACAATTATCTGCTGCTGCCTCATTCACAAGGAGTTGCCATAACAGAGCAGCTGATTAATATGATTAAGCTGATTTTTTTACCCAGTGCCTTTCCTGACACAATACCCAATGGATGGACTGTAGCTCTACTAAATATAAGAAAGATTAAATGCTTTACAGCATTCTGTTCATAATATGTGATTCATATAAGTAGCCTTCTTCTCAGTTTGGTCTTCAATTCAAATAATTCATGTTTCTGACAATGGCATAAGTCTGCTGCTTGCAGCTCAAAACTGAATACAGAAAAAACACACAAAAAATGTTTGCTAGATTAAAAAAAAATCAAAGCTGCAAACCTTTTTTCATTTCTCTTTTAACTTCTTCCTTGACCCAACTGTCTGTGTTTATTATGTGAGGCAGGTTATGGAGGTACTGCCAGGCAGTCTTAAAAAGTTTCAAACTCTGTGTGGTGCCTGTCTCCTTATTTCAACTTTAACAGTGACTGGAGGACAAGATCTAAGGTTAGGCTCCCTATGATCCCACAATCAGGTTTCAAGGAAGGGAGATAAGAAACAAGGATGTTCAAAAAAAGCAACACTTCTCTACTGCTTACAGACACAAACTATGATGATTTTGCAGCCGGCACTGAACTCAGAGTCACAAATTGCCTATTTATGTCAAGGAAAGCTTTTAAAAGCAAAAACAACATTGCAAATAGAGGGCATAAAGATGTGCATTCAGATATGATGAAATGGAAAGGCAAGATATGTATTATTTATATAAAAATTTGAAAAAGTGGACTAGAAAAAAGGGCTGGTAGGGCTGTTTTTGTGGCAGGTTCAATACATTGAAACTCCTAATTGTGTGTTACATAAACTTATCCACAATGTGCCAAATGCTGATTATGTGTAAAATGACTAATGCATTATGTTAGGGCCGTGATTGTATGGTGTATTATGGACAAACTATCATTCTCAAAGGCTTTATTTTTTTTAAAAAATAATAAATTAAAAAAGCCTGCTGGTATAAAATAAAATAAGAGGTCTGACAAGTGATACAAATATCTGACATATTAAAAAGAACAACATAAATAAAGACGTTTCAAAGTGTGAAATCAACAGAAGGGTCTGATTTTTTTTAATCTTTTTGGTGTATTTTGCACCACAAAGGATTGCGTTGCAAATCCTTAATAATAATTTACACCATGAGAGTTATGATCAAAACTCTTAGTCTTAGTCATTGTCAGCTATAGGGTCTAACTGGTAAAGACATTAACAATGGTCTGCCATAGCACACTGAAGCATGTTTCCTGGTTAAATCAGAGAACCGTGCTGATATATTGCTTAGATTGACTGACTAGAAAAGCTGAGCCATTATGTTGAATGCGCACTTATTTTTCTGCTTTGTGAAATAATGGTGATATAACACCATGAAAAATAATGTTTTCATATGTTTTTAGAAAATAACATAAAAGATATAAAATGTATTTTTATAGGTTCTTATGTAATGGCTTTACCTCTTTTATTCATCTGTCTCATCAGTTGGGCTGTCAAGTAAAATAAATCTGACATCCCTGGTTCATAACACGACTTTTGCCCAGTAATTTGTCATCACGTGTCCTGGCTATCATCAATAAGTGTTCACAGAGCATAACTTGACATGGTGACGATACTGTGCACAGCTGAAAGCTGAAGAAACAAAGCAGATATTGTACAACAGATTTTGGGGTCTGCAGAGTCTGCATTCCACATCACCATCTGGATGGCCGTTAATTCGCTAAATTTAATACTGCACAATACTGTGAACAAACAAAATATTAAGTGGTTCTTACTGCATTATTCATGGATTTAACATATGAACCATCGTATGTACTTTAACCAATATATCAGTGAGGAATCTGTATTATACAGCTTAGCAGTCTGACTCTGATCCTGTGTACTATGTTGATTTGGCCAATTTAATACACAGAAGTCAGTTGATGTTGTTTCGTAAATACAGAGTCCAATCATATCTGTAAATAAAAGTGATTAAACATGTTTTTGTGCTTCTCAATAACACAAAGATAAAAAAAAAAGTTTTGTTCTTCTGATGTCTTTCTAATGTCTTATCATTCAGAGATTGTCCCAGGCACTTTGAAGTTATGTCCTCAGACAACCACTTAATTCTTCCTCTGCACACTTTTGAACTCAGTCAGAGCACGGGGTGGGGGAAGTGTTTGAGTTTAAAGAAATAAGTGTGTCAGACGGATGAACAGAGGGAAGGAGACAGACAGATACCGAGGTCGAACCTTCAAAGGGAGAGCAACAGAAGCTGAGTCAAAGGAGAAAAAAAAAAGAAAAAGAGCCATGGATGGATGCACTGCTGATAGCCCTAAATCACAGCACGCCTCTGTGCCTGCGCCGGTGTGTTGACACAACCTCGGCCAACACTCAAGGACGCTGTTGACTTCCTCAGGTCATTAACAGATGAAAAATTACTTAATTGAGAGCCAGACCAGCAGGCGTGTGCATTATTTTAAGTGAATACAGTAATATAGCTTGAAGAATAATTACTAATGGCTCTCTTTGTTGGCATGTAAAATGGATGAGCATTGGTGCACTGTGGCTTTTTTAAAGTGGAGCTGCATTCATTAGCTATGGAAATGGTTTTTGGGCCAAGTGAATGAGGTGGGGTGGGGGTTCAGCGGTGCATTAGATCTACCTAACACTAATGGATGTTGCCTCATGGAAGAGAAAGTACACTCAGACACATACTCGTACTGATTAATGAAAGCACGCATGCATTCACAAATGAGGGTTTCACCTTTTCTGATGGATGAATGTTCAAACTCCAACAGGACTTCGAAATTGTCTGTGTGTATTTGTCCTTACCAGCAGCGGACTGTAGTAGGCTGGCCCCATGGTTGTGTCCTTAGGAGGGGGCTGTTGCTTACGGAGGACACCCCGGGCATCCTCTTCATAGCCATAGGCCTGGCTCGGGGAGGGAATGGATGGAATGTCTGACTGAAGAGCTAGCCGGAGACCTTTAGCCTGCAGCCAATGCAAAGAGAAAAAAAAGGCAGGAGAAAAGCAGAAAGAGTAAAGCAAAAAGTCAGGGTTTCTGTTGGAAAAAAATGCCCTGGCTTACAAAGCAGCTGAGCAGTGCCTGGGGCCAATAAAAGACGAGACTGAGAGAGGGACAGAGCGAGAGGGAGAACCATAAATGAGGGACAGAAGATCAGCAAAAGATAGTGAGGGCACGATGAAGAGAAAAAGAAGTAAAAAGTAGAACTGCACCAGTGCAATAGAAACCAGAGATACTGAGGGAACATAAAAAAAGAAATCGAATGAAAAAAATGCCAGGAAGTTTTTCTACTGACTTTCTGGGATCTGAGAGTAATGTAAATGTACATTCTTGCTTCTTGGTTAATTACAACTAGCATAAAAAAATAACGCCTACTAAGACGCTCGCATTCAGCTCTGGAGGAGCAAGTTTCAAACGCACCAAGTTAGGTATCCACTAATATCCACAGATAACAGCTTGTAAAGCACTTACTTATAGCTGATTTTTGCATATATTCTTGAAAAAATTACAAAAGGGATAAACAAGATACTGTGTCATTCATTACCATTATTCCATAGTTCATATATGATATAGAATGCGAGTTTGCAAGTGCACTCAACACTCAAACCAGCACAAACAGGATGAAGAGTCTTCTGTACCAGCTTTTGATTGTGCAAGTCTCTTCTACTTGCTTTATTCTAAGAATAGCAGTATTAAAATGGGTATTACGCCTGCCAATGGGATTTTGCCCAAAATGTACACCAAACACAAAGAGTTAAAAAAGTTTGAAAGGCCAAGAAATAACAGCACTAAAGTGGATATGTGGGCATATTCAGCATTATAAAGCCATTGCCATCTATGATAACTGAGTATTTCAGAAGAACAGATGTATGACATAATACAATAAAAGTAGCAAGTGTCAGTACTACTCATGTACTATGCCCTCCTATCTTCACCCATATGCTTACCACTTTGTTGCCAGGCCTTCCAGGGTGTCCTACATTAGCTGTCACAGCCCTGTGTGCCTTTTTTGAGGCAGGCGACACATTGTAGGCCCCAGGGCCTGGAACCTCTGACACCACATCCTCAAAACGCTTGGAGCGGTTCTGAAGACTGCTGCCACCATGGACATTTAACTGAAGAGACAAGGGTTCAACAGAAAGCCAAGCAAAGAGAGAATAAGGCTGGTATCAAAAAATATATTTCTTAAAATATTTGTTTTAAACCATGGACAAGCAACATCGTCATTTAGCTTTTGTAAATTAAATGGATCACTCACCTTGACAGGTGAGCAGTCATAGTGTCCAGGTCCTAATAAACTCTCACTGTCTTTGGAGAATATTGATTGCCTGGCACTCAAGGAAAGGAATGGTGCATAGCCATCTGCAACAGTGAAAATTTTCCCAAGGTAAGGTATACAAATGACTGCAAGCTTGCAGGACGCTTTATTTTCTAATACACTTATGTAACTGTGAAACAACAAAGCAGCAGGAAGGTTTTTTGCTTACATATTTTGTTATACTGCCAAGACATATTAATTTAACTTTTATCAATTGAAAGTGTATAAGCAGATTCAAATCTGTAAGCCTAAATATTCGACGTTCTTTCTTTGCAAGCTAGCTAAATTTAATTTAAGTTAACTTAAAGTTTTACAGTTTTCTGAAGAAGAAAAAAAATGATTTTGGGAGGACAGATATTTTTCCTTGTAAGTACCTGATATCTTGTAACTGGACTGGCTCACATTGTATGATCCGGGACCAACAGCAGACGATGCACCCCCTGCTGTCATGAAAGTCACTCTTGGAGCCCGTCCGTACATGTTTAACTCACAGAGTGGTAGTCTCGCTAAAATGTAATTACACAATAAATACTCCTTCTTTATTCTGTGATAGGGTGTAGCTGTACTTTCATTAAATTATGCTGCACCAAGGTTAAAAAATGCCTGCCCTGTGCTCCCCTTTGTCAGGACTGCGCTGGTTACTTCGCCTGCATAGTTGCTTGGTTACCACATATTGTTACATGGCAACTGCAGACCGAACACACACGGAGGAGGAGAAGTAAGCAGAAGGACCACAGAGACAAGACAGGCGAGTGAGAGACGTGGCACTCTGAGAACTGAAGTTCATGGGAGAATTCAGAAGAAGAATACAAGCTCCTACATATTTATATCTGTCATAGTACCAACTGCTCTCCAAGTGGAACACCTGACTTTCTCTTCTCCTCCTGCTGTTCTATTTTTCTTTCTCTCCCTCGTGCGTGGTTGTGCTAGTGAGCATTAATTTTGCTCGCCTCCTCCCGGAGTGGGCGTGGCTTTTCCAAGCTCCCGCTGCAGCACCTGTGCACCATTATTCGCTCACCTGTTGTATTTAAGTCCAGCTCGTTCCGCTGCTCGTAGTTAGCTCGTTTACCGACCCAGTGTAGCAACATAGCTGTTCTCTCTGCTCTCCTACTGGACGAAGCATATCTTCGGAACATAAAGACAACCTGTGAGAGTAAACTAAGAAACGTGCTTTTGACTTGAGGAAAGTCTAAGTCGTGATTGCTTTTAGTTAAAAATCACTGCCCTGTAGCCTAATACTTAGTATATATATATGTAATGGAGAACAAATGTATCAGATTTGACTAGTGCTTCTATGCTTGTAGTTTTGGATTCCAGGCAGCAGTGAATTTAAATTTAATTTAGGTAGACTATTACTTCCAAATAAGTCCCCAGAGACATTTCAAGATAGCTGCGGAGTGGCGAGACTTCCTGCTCGAAGGACTGGTATAATTAGCCCACAACGTCTGGAATAAAAAAACTCTTTGAAAGCTTGTAAGGGTCAAGTCGACAAACCGTTTAGCTTTTACCTGATTCAGTGGTGTCTCTATGGGAGGGAGGGGATTGAACTTCAAGCAAATTTCAAAAAACTACTGAAATAAGAGTGAGACTTGCTTTTGGAAGGACTTTGAAGAGACGTATCAGCATTTATTACCTGTATCACCTGTACATTTTTTTTGTAACTCTTGTAGTACTGCTTATGTTACATTATTGGCCTTTTCTGGCATTTTTTATTCATGGAGGGGGCTTCTTGTTTTGTTTTTAATTAGAGCATTAGCCTCTATATTGAAGCCATAGTCCCATCCTACCATCTAGTGGTTGAATGTGACAGAGCCTCACCCCATCCCACCCACCACCACTACACTAGTAGTAGTACTACTGATTTACATTTTTGACCAGTCTCAGTTCATTCTTGACCCACTTCTTCCTGTCCCACAATGTAGTTAAGGTTTGGATAATGAGAACTCAGGGGAAAGCTATGCAAGTAACAAGTAGCTCTCTGAGGGGGGCACTGAACTGCATATACTTGAATTTCCCTTCACGTCTCTTAGTTAGTGGAGTGTGTCTTTGACTGGACAAATCTCATTAACGTTACACAGCACATATGATATCTTAAAGATATATTCTCAAAGACCATCTCTGACAACTCAGATGGTGAGTCTGAATTATCATAATTGCAATAGTGATATCCTAAAAGCAACTGTATTTATTTATTAACCCATCATGTATTCATATTTTCTTAAGACTCATATTACAGTTTCACACCTGGGACTCCTTGCATTTATATTATTCATGTTGCTGACTGGAAAACTGTGCCATTACCCAAACTCTGAGAGTACTTCTAATAACACTTTGTAACTTAGAAGAACTTGATGTAATAAATGCTTTCGTTTTCTGGCTGTGGTTTAATAAGCAGCTGTTAACATTTCCTTTCTCGTAAACACCAGAAAGCAGAACGTTTTTTTAAACTGAAAAATACAAAGCATGCAGTATCTGTGATGGGAGAAGGAAACTGGACAAATCACGACAGAGATGTACATCGTAGATAACTGACTAAACACGTAACAACGATGGGCTGCTATTTAGCAGTCATTTTAACAGTTTGGGTTCAGCTTAATAATGGTTACACATACAAATTATAGTACATTTACGTTGGGGAAGGGCTGATAGAAATAAGGGGTACGATGGAGATGGGGAATATATCCACCAGAGGGCAGCAGGTTGCCTCAGATGAGTCTAACCTGTTTTAAATTCACGTGAAGGCAATGCTGCTTCTCATGAAAACGGAAAACACAATACCCAGCCGTAAGAGACTAAAAGGGATTAAAATGCATTCAGTAGTATATCACTGAATAGTTATAGTGTTTCTATATAGAATTTTTTGTATATTTAGATATATAGAAAGTAGATTGTAGATTTAATGCAATTATTTGCAAATAAATCTAGAAAAGCACTAATTCCCGCTAAAAACGATTTCTTTATTCTTTTAGTGGACTGTAGTTCATATATTTGTTCTCTATCTGAGAAAATAAAGCCGTGTTAAAGGGTGTTAAATGTATTAATCAACTCTGCAGGTAATCTTTTACTAAAGTCTCCCAAATGGCAAGTCGGTAAAGGCGAAGATCGAGAATTTTACAAAGCGTCCGTGAAAGCGCCACAAGTTATTTCCACCGTCACGGCCAGCGTCGGTCATCGCCCGGCAAGGTGTCGCTTTCGGCAGCTAATTACCCGTTTTATTCCTCGTTTAAGTGAAAATTTTTGATACACATTTACTTTTGACACTCTCGGCACTTGGGGCCATGGAAAGAATCAGGTTTTTCGTGTTTTTCTTGGTGCTTTCCGCGTCTTTGCTGGGCAAAGCCGAAGCGGGCAGGAGCAGGACCAGCAACCAGAACAGCTTCCGACGGGCAGCTAACGGCATCTATCAGACTCTGAGCAGCGTCTTCGGAGAGGACAACATTAGAGGGTTATACAAGGTCAGTTAGGCCCATATCATGCTAAGTCGGCGGCTGGCTTTGTTCATGAGCCTCATCGTAGCTGCCATTACGGTTTGTGGTCCAAGCATGGCGAACAGGAAAAGGCCTGGTTAATAATTCCACGGATGCCATTTTGGGGGAAAAAAAAAAAGCCTTTATCGCCCCCTTTTTCTGTTTAAGTCGGTAGAAAAAGCCTGGGTATAAAATCGTAGTAAAAACAAAAACGTGCTTCGTGTTCTTGCATTCTTATTTGTGTGTGAAGCCAAATCAAGCCACGAATGAGAGAATCTAAATTTAAATAAAATAAGTATAGCTTCATTGATTCACAACATAACCGCCTTTATGTTTCTTTATGTATTAGAAATCTGCTCTTATTAAGGAACTAGTGGGGCCTGCTCAAGTGATCTCATTGGCCCTGCGGCATTTCCTGCATTTTGAAATGTGATGTTATTTCCTGCATTAAGCCGCCAAAGCGTAATTAAGTCAGATATGTTGAGTTGAGTAGTTTTTCCTGTAGACTTAACAGTGTAACACGGAGCTTCATGTCTTAGTGTGCATCTGCTTACCTGATGAACATGCAAATAATGAGTGCCTGATTAAAGTTATGGCGTAAGATAGTGATGTGTGGATGTTAAACCACTGTCTCTGATACTTACATCAGCCTTTGTGACTACTTAAATACAGCTGTAAATGCTTCATTGCATCTGTGACTTTTCCAGCAATGTTTACGTGTGCTGTGAAAAAGAGCTACTAAAGCGGGCAGCCAAAGGGTTCTTATGAAAACACTGCTTTCACGGTGTAATAAAAGCACCTGCTGCTGTAATGATAATCCTGTATGGCCACTGTTATATCAACACATTAGCTACCTGTCCATTTGAGAGTGAAAAATAGTCGGTTGCCTGGAGAGTTGGTAAACAGGGGTTTGATTTATAGCTGCAGAGACCATGGTGTTGGGTCACTGCCAGATCAAAAGTTGTAACACACCCATAACTGCCCTTCCTGGTTTTAATGCAGTTCTTTGCATACTTTGCATAGAGTCCCTATGAGCACAACATCATTCATAATATAGGTTATGGACTGAAAAGCCACCAAAGCATTGCTTTATTTAATAGTTGGGAAATGCACATTGTAGTCTGACCAACAGACTGCCATAATTCATAGGAGACGATGATGCACTCAGTACATGGACGTTATTTTTCACCCTGCTTTTGCTATTGGTTGTTTATTTTCTCATAGGTTTTCTCCAAAGCAACGGAGAGGTTTGTCCATGGAGTGGACTCTTTCCTGGACACCATCTGGAAGATCTGGTCGGATCTGCTGGATGTGATGGGCATTGACTGTAAGTCTACAAATTGCTGCTTAGGACATGTCTGTTAGGAATGTCCGAATGATGAAGGCAGGTAAAAAAATTAAAAATGCCAAGACGTACAGTCCCATGAAAAAATATTTGTCCCCTTCCAGATCCCTTAGTTTATTGCATACTTGCCACACTTGCATGTTTCAAACTAAATTTAATATTAGACAATATTAATATCAACCAGAGTAACTAAAAAATGCAGTTCTTTAAATTATTTCATTTTATTTATTAAGAGGAAAAAGCTATCCAAACCCGCCTGGCCCTGTGTGTAAAAGTAATTGTGCCTAGATATTGCCAGATGTGTTGAGTGAAGAAATCCCTTGAATAGAAACTGTCTGGCTAAGTGAAATTTGCTAAAGGAGCTCAAAAAGCAACACATCATCATGATCTAAAGAAACTCAATTACGGATGAGAAACAAAGTTGCTGATGAAACATGTGAGTGTGACAAAGATCATAAATACTTTTCAACAGCACTGTATGTTTAAAATTCATCTTCCTAGATCGCATCTGAAATTATACATGCTTCTGGAAACAGTTAACAATTTTAACTTTCTCTCGTGTCTCTCCCTTTCTCCCTGTACACGTGTAGCTTCAAACCTCAGCCATTACTTCAGCCCCACATCTCTCACCAACTCCCCAGCACGTGCCCTGCTCCTAGTCGCCGCTGTGCTCTTGGCCTACTGGTTCCTGTCTATGTTCCTGGGGGGTTTCTTTTACCTGCTGCACGCTGTGTTTGGACGCTTCTTCTGGCTAGCCCGCGTCACTCTCTTCGCCCTATCCTGCCTCTACATCCTGCAGAAGTTTGAGGGTGACCCTGAGCGCGCAGTGCTCCCGTTGTGCTTCATCATGGCTGTGTACTTCAT